GGGCCGCATATTGTTTGCAAAGAGTACGGGAGACACTGCAGTCAGGGGCTGTAAAGACAACACTAAGCAGAGCACGTATAGATTCCTTTCTTCCCTTACTCGTGCAATGACCAGATGCTCTGACTTTAACACCAGAGCACATCGCTGTTGCAATTCTAAAAACGACAGCGACGTCGGCACCATGCAACCAGGGAACAGAAGAATCATTGTGAACTAATATGCAGATGGTTAAAGCTGCTCTAACATGCTGACCAGTGTGCCCAGGCCGCGGCCTCTTGATGCTCCGCGATTTTTAGTAGCGTGCGACTGGACAGGAAAAAGCTGCCTTAATCGGTTCGAAGTATTGTCGTTTGGGGCAGAAAGTGGGAGCAATCAAAACGCAATAACAGAACAAACATCGCGGCCTCTAATACCTAAAGGCAAAGAAGATATTTACGGATTTCTGATTCCCTACCTGTGTGGACACGCTGGTCTTTGTAATCACCACACTGCTAGCCTCGGTGTTGTTCCGTGGAATGAGGTTAATCTGGCGCAAGTCGGCTGAGCCACGTCACTCATGTTTCTCCCGGGTGCGGTAGAGCCGCCAGGGCTCCTGCGTGGAGACCTCAAAACCGGCGGGCTGCTGCCCCCCCAGTTTGTGGAATCGCTTTTTATCACTGCACGCACGCTAACCGGCTGTAAATAACAAGACGGGCGAGGATTCATCACTTATGTGTGTGTTCTCTTGCTCACGCGAAGAACCAGATTAACAGGGATAACACCGTAGTGATGGAGAGTGTGATTGACCGGCTGCCCACTTCATTGGTTCTTCATCGTAGGTGTTGAGTACAGTGGTAGTATCGCAGTATTTTTTGATAACACGCGAAAAGATATGCAACAGAGGGGACTGGTTGTAACGGCTAGAGACGAGGGATGAAAAAGCGTGTCGGAAAGCGTTTGTTTCAGCCGCTTGGAGGAAGAAGGTTGTGAAATCGAAGAGGCGCTCTGGAGTGTTTTCCAACTTCCACGGAGAGAAGGGCGGGAAGTACATTAAGAGCCTCGTCCTCTTGTTGCTGGGTATGTTGGTGTGTGCTAAGAGTGTGTAGAGAGAGTTGCTTAAACGGAAGCAGGGTGACAAAACTGGAAAGTAAGACGCAACCGCCTTCAATATGCAATACCACGCCACGCACTGAAAGTAGACTGTCTGCTTCCTGACGAAGCTTGGTGGAACGGAGCATATTACATTGGTACATCGCGGTATGACAGCGAGTCCTCATGTGTATCACCACCCGCAGGTGACCCCAAGTTTAAAGCGCAGTTCATGGGAAGTCAGACATGGGACTGGGCTGGGCGGGCGTCGGCCCCGGTTCTCCTCGGGTCGGCGCTCTTCAGGTTGATGTTGCTGTGTTGTTAGTCCAGATACAGTGGCGTCTGGGTCCACAAATCTCGCGTCTCATATGGGCCCTTATTCACTTAAAATAAACCTAGCCTTTAGGATTCGCCCATTGTCAGGATCAGCACAGGACTGTAAAGCACAGGTATTGTATATATAGTGTGAGAGATAGAGATATAGGTGACCAAAGCAGAGCATTGAGCAGATGCGGAACGTGGACGTAAAACTTGTTTTTTTTTTTTGTAAGTGTCGGTAATTACAGAAGTTATTCACTGTGGAGTGAAGACCTATATTCATGTGTGTGTGTGTGTGTGTGTGTGTGTGTGTGTGTGTGTGTGTGTGTGTGTCTTACACCACACTCATCCCAGCCACTATCGTTGTGACATTCCATCGATACGGACCTTTCATATCTACAGGGCCTGAAATACAGCAGCAAACATCAACACAACAGTTTTTGACTAGCAGTCCTATGAGGATAATATTGCACTCAGAGCACGTCGCATTTGTCAAGACATTTCCTCTTAATGACAAGCAGTTTTTTGCTTGAGGTATAAAAGTTGCTGTTCTCTGAGCGTGTCAAAAGATTGTACCATAACTCTACTTAAGATGACACAGTTATAACAGGTTTGAGTCTTTCCTATTCAAAGTGTACAGTAAAAAGTGTATTAAATGTCTAAGCCCACATTAAGGATTACTTGAATCCAGTTTAGGCCATTACAATGAAAATATCAACTTTAAGTGTTTAATTCAAAGCCAAGCACAGTTATAATGATCCCACCACTCCATTTTCATAAACTGTAGTTTCATTATTAAAAAGGCGTCAGTACCCATGTTGCCTTCTCTGTGCTGCTCAGCGTCGTGCCTATACTGCTTTTTGGGCTTTGAATGCTCTGCCAGAGTCCGGCTGTAAGTCCGCCTCCTCCTGCGAGGCCCACCCATCTTCCCCGCCTCTCCACCTCCTTGGTTCATCTCTGCTTCCTCCTCCAGCAGTTCTGCTTCTGTGTTGTGTAATCACAGGGCAAAACCAAAAAAATATATATAAATAAAAGGAAACAGGTGGGTTAACTCAGCAAAAGCAAAAGTAATCAGCATGAACGGCCTGGCCCGTTTATGGTCATGCCAAAACATCTCAACACTGTATTTTCCCAAATGTTTTTTGGCAGGTATGAGATGTGCGTATGTGTCATTTGTGGTCAGCAGTGGTTTTCTTCTTGGAACGCCGTTCACGTATGCCATTCCCCCCCCAGTCTCCTTATTGTTAAATCATAAACTCTTAACCTTAACTGAAATGAGTGAGGCCTGCTGTTCTTTCACATGATATTACAGGTTCTTGTGTGACCTGGATGAGTTGTCAATTTAAGTCAGTTAAATTGTCTTTTTTTTTTTTTTTAAATAGTTTTTATCATTAACTCAGTTTCCCTGGGTCTTTTTTCTCCGTGTGTTATAAATAAATCTTTTTTGGAACCAGTACTGGTCTTATTTTGTTGTATTTATCCACGACACCTTAAAAGCCGGTCTGCAAAAATATTGTCGGACATAAACCGGTCCGTGGTGCAAAAAAAGGCCTCTGATTTAAGTTATCTAATTAACTTTGGTAGGCCAGCCCCTCCTGTGAAGGTTCACCACTGGTCCAAGTTTTCTCTATTAGTGGGTAAGGGTGGTCCACTGGAGTCCCAAGGCCTTAGAAATGCCTTTATAATAGTTTTCAGACTGATAGATGTCTGCGACTTTGTTTCTCATCAGTTTCTTTAGATGGTGCGTGTTGGAGCCTTCGTTCATATCAGATCAGGGAAAAGAAAATCACAGGCTGAAGAAAGGAGACAGGCAAGTGCCCTCTTCTCCCTCCACAGCGTGGAGATGAGGCCGTCTACTCACCCAGATGCCGAAAATTCTCTTCTATGCCGCTCCAGGAGTTTTTGGTAATAAAGGACTTCACGAGGCCCCATGGCTGCTTCTTGTACTTTACATCGGTATACACCCTGATAATGTGACAGAGTAAAATCCAGTTAAGGAGAATAAAAGTAAAAGTCAGACTCACTGATAACATGGTTAACTACACAAATAATGTGTGATGAAGATATATTTTGCATCAAATTAAACAAAGCCTCTGCATTAGCCTTGCTTGCTCGACCCGGTGCTCAAATCAGGAACCAGTATTTAGACAAACCCGTGAAATACTGGGAGATAATGGCGTGTTCAGAAGAGACCAAATCTGAACTCTTTGGATGGCACAATACACGCCATGTTTGGAGTTCAAAAGGCACTCCATATCACCCCAAAACTAGCAGTGAAGTTTGGAAGTGGGAACATCATGGTGTGGGGCTGTTTTTCCAGCATATGGCACTGGCACGCTTCATATAATTAAAAAGGAAGGATGAACAGAAAAATGTGCAAAGACATTCTTGAGTAAAATCTGCTGCCATCTAGCAGGATGAAGACGATGAAATGAGACAGATCCAAACACACTGCCAGGGAAACTAGGTTGGTTTCAGAGAAAGAAAATACAGCTGCTAGAATGGCCCGGCCAATCACCTGACCTGAATTCAATTGAAAGATCTACGGAAAGGACTAGGAGGTCAGAGTTCATAGATGAGGCCAACACAACCTCCAGGATTTAAAGACTGTAGAAGAATGAGCCAAAAAAATAAAAACAATCGCATTTGAGCACCTGCCAAGGAGTCACAAAAATCACATCTTAGCAAGTTGCTAATGTAATGCAGGACTAACACAGAGAGGGACAACCTTTAATGCTCACATCCACAGTTAACCACCAGTTAACACCATTAATGTTCTGGGACGAAACTGGAGAATCCAGAACCCTGTGAGGTGACCATCCTAACCACCGCACTACTCCGTGCCTAAATGTAAAATGGTTATGTGCAGACAACACTGGTTTATCCACTGAGTTAGCCCAGCCCCCCCCAAGCTTGAAGAAATTATAGGTCTTTGTTAAGTGACTAAAAAAATGCAATCAGGTAGAGTATAAAGTCTGTAGAGATACTGACTCATAATATAAAGACATGAAAGGTGGGTGAAGGTTTTTACATGGCGCAGTATCTAATTAGGATATAACTGTGCGTTTACCACTTAATAAATGTTAAAATTGCTAGTTTTGTACAGTTTAATATGAAGTACACCTAGCTTTGTCTAAGTGTAGTGCCAAATAAACCAGACCCAGAAAAAAAGTTGACACTTTACCTTAGTCGACATTTCCTTTTAGAGTTACTCATGATGTAGTAGCGGGTTTGAGTGTAGAAGTAGTCATGATAGGGAACGTCATGTGTGTACACCTCCGAGTTTATGAGGTAATATTGACCATCCCTGGATTCTTTGTACAGCGTCTGACAGATAATAAAGTACAAATAAGCAGCCAGGCGTAGTTCAAACAACATTAACATATAAATTAATCAATTTGAGCTTGAAAGCGTCATTCATGCTGATGTAAACACACCTGGTACTCTGTAGCAGTGGAGAACTTCCCAATCAGAGGGTTGTTGATGGTTATTGTGTAGTTCAGACTCCGCTTCATGTTACCAGAAGAGTCTTTTTGCCAGGCAGTAGAGGTGATATCTGAGAACACAAAAGGCAACCTTGAATACTGTGCACACAAGAGCTTTTATTTGCTAGATCTGAATGAAAACTTTTTTTTTTTTAAATAAAAAGCCTTACTGGTTATCTTCCGGGCATCCATAAACCTGCGCATGAAGGTGGAGTCGGTGAAGAGAATTCCAAACATATGTTTTGCACCGATGTGGAAAACCCGGTTCAAATACTGTCGACCGGACACCTGAGACAGACCAACGCGGTCCTCCACTGAGGAGAGAAAAGAGGAAGAAAGATATTAAACCACAAAAAACAAAACCACACCTTTTAAGCATGCACCAGGCCCTGAGCGGCTTCTTGTCACCTTCTTCTTCGCTTTCCGAGCCGCTTTCCTCAGACGTGCCGTTCTCGTTGGCGTTAAGGTCAAGAGAAAGGGAGGAGCGCTTGGAGATGCGCTCCGGGACGAGGCGGTCCAGTTGGGGAGCCGGACTGCGCCTTTGGGATGGGGTGTTACGAAAGTCCTCCTGCAAGAAGACAAGTTTTTCGTGTTTTTGTTTTCCTTTGAGGTCTGTTACCATAATTGGATCTGAGGTGCAATTATGGCTAGTTTTGTCATAATTCTTGCAAAAAAAAAAAAGATGGATATACAGTTGCAGTATTAAAAACGTGATTGCTTAAATACCAAGTTGGGAGAGTTCTGTGAGCCAATAGGGGAAGGCATTTCTTCCCCTTGAGGTGTGGAGGTGTCCAAGGGTCCATTTTCCACTTCAGGGATGCGGAGGAAAGGGGGCCGCTCTAGTCTCCCTGGACCGTCATCTCCGCCAGGCCTGGCTGTCAGGCTGCAAGCAAACAAATGGGCGACATCAGATTCTAAACATGTCATGCGGTGCGTGTGGCTGGAGATGGAGGTGTAGGTGCGTTTACCTGGTCTGCATGTTTGATTCTGTCATTATCGGTGAGCTATCCATCTCTTCATAGCTTAAGCCAAGATCAAAACCATAATGCTGTCTAACCATCTGCCATAACTCGTGGCTGGTCAGAGACTGAAAGAGATGGGAAAAGGCAAGTCAACCATTACGTTTTGCTTGAAATGAATGACACGTGAGGTCTTTACCCACGAGATAAGCACACAGACACACAAAGGAAGAAAAAACTCCCAAACTGATCAAGCAAACCTGCTGTATTGTCACCATGGGCGACAAACTGGCTGACCTTATCTCTCTGACCTGCATAGATACTCATCTTACACTTTGGCATTAACCCTTGGCAGACAAAGGTTCAAAAGCAGACTACGTTAACAAGCTTCCATACAGTGTTAATAAGCGGGACCTTCAGTTTTTAGACACAAAACAGTGTTACACAAACAAGATCTTCACTTCAAAATAGATGAACGAGATTATTGTAGACCCGTTTATTCCACTGGAAATTTACGCGTTTTTGTCGAATGAGAACGAATTATTGTTTCACGTGAAACCCACAAAAACGTTTGAGATCCGTACACGCAGGTTTTACTTACGCGTTAAAGGACAACAATCCCACAGCTGCGAGCGTTTACTGGCTCCCAGGCAGTGATCAGTGACCTGGACGCACAGCGCACCCACATTCAGGAAGTAGACAACTCAAGCGAGTCCAAGACGCGCCGCCCAGATTTGCTCCAGTGAAAAAAGGTAAATAGAAAGGTTTTTGTACCTCCCGTTCTCTTATTCGTGAAACAGCCGCAGGAAGCTTCTCTATTTTTGTTAGAGTAAACCCTCTGACAGTTTCAACTTCAACACCAGCGAAGCGTCAAGTGCGACTGGAGGCCAGTCGTCAATGCAAATCAGCCGTCCTGGCCACACCTGCAGAGGTCAATGAACTTTTATATTCAGGTGTTTGCGCTGCAGATCCCAGGAGACCCACACCCACGAGAAGAGGCTGCCATAGTGCCAAGGCAGAGGCTAAAGACCGATGACGGGAGAGTCCAAAGTTCAGCGATTAACAAATTACTCAGTGCCGATACCAAAATGCCTTGAATGGTTCTCATCTGAAACCCTATGATAACCATGCTGGTTATTTTAGTCTCAATACCCAAAACAAAGCTACTGCCTTAACCTAATAGATATGACGACAATAGTTTCAATTAAAACAAACCAACAAACAAAAAACGTTATGACCATGTATAAAATCTAAATTAAAAGTTGGGGATTAAATGCTTTACAAATCACTTAAAGCTTAAATGAAAGAAAAATAGTATTAAAAACAAAAACACAAAACGTTTAATTTTGAATATGAATCTTGCCTTAAATCAAACCCGTTGTGCTTTTTTCTACCCTTTATATATATTTTTTATTATTGGGCTCTGTTAGAGTGGCTTTCCTGACGCCATAATAAATAAATTATACGTGGCCTTTATCATTTACTTTCACTGACATTTTGAGTGCTTGTACCCTTTCTTCAGCGACAGTATTGCAGCTTGCAAGTTGGGGTTTAAGAGTTGACTTGCGAGTTCATTTTGAAGGCTCTGCACTTTAGTAAACTTTGACGTCTCACCCTTAAACTTTGGAAGCAGCTGATATGCACAACATATTTCTTATTTATGGACTTTGCATGTCCAGGTTTAACACAAGTGAGATATCGTTCATTTTACTATGAAAAAAAAAAAAATCCGGACAATACAAATAAAACTGTTCTTGTTTATTCTTATTTGTTTACCTTTACTACACAGGAACACAGGAAGTGGGTAAAAGGTGAAAAATGACTTCCAGTGGGTTTATTTTAAAAGTACATCCCTCATTTACATGCAGGTTAACACATGTAAATAAAATAAAACCCTTGTGTCTGCTAGACTCGTGAACAGACTGTGTGCAGATGGTTAACCCTACACGCAATAACTAAACAAGACTGATTACCTCAAAGGAAGACCGTTTGTGGCTGGGGTAGTGGAGCATGATATGTACTCTGAACTGATTAGATAAATGCTCCATAAAGTCACAGGACCACTGGTGTTTTTGGAGGAGTTGCGCACAGCAGTGCTTTTGGAAATGACTATAAATCATGAACTAGTGTTGGACATAGACATAAGTACTGTACCGATTGGGACAATGCGCTGTTGCAGGTAACAACAGGTGGGTGAAGCAGGGCCTTACCTTACCCAGCAGCGTGTTTTCCCACATGCGAGAAAATTCCCGGTAGCTTTTCTCTCTTGCTGAGAAGGAAGTGAAGAAGAACTGCGAGCGAAAATACAAAGAGAGAAACCGAATATAAGCAAATGTGTGTTTTTCATATGTTAAACCAGCTCTGAATGATTGCAGTTTGGTACCTTGTCTGTACTCGTGCAGATCTGGATGGCGTTGGGAATGAATCGAGCAGTTTTCTCTCTCGTCATATTTGTGATGTTTTTAAGTGTCAGAGTGATCTATTTGAAAATAATAATAATAATAGTGAAAGGTTAATGTGAATGCTTGAAGAACAAACATCAGTGTCATCTGTTCACCAATGCAAATATCTAATCAGCAAATCACATAGCAGCAACAGTAGATTTAAGCATATCTACTGAAATTCCAGTCAGGTGAGTGGGGGAGAAAGGTGATACAAATGACTTTGGTTGTTTATTCCAGATGGACTGGTCACAGTGTCAGAAACTGCTTATCTGCTGGGATTTTCTCCACATATCTATCATCAGTGAGTTTAATCTCTTGGGTACAGTGATACTGAGAGGTCAAACACACTGCAACTTAAGAAAACGCCAGCAAATAGTTTACACCCTCGTCCTGCTGCTCTCCAGTGTTATTACCTTTGTTCCACGAAACACATTGCTGTAGAAACAGACCCAGTTCACTGAGAGGTAAATGCGTCCCTGTAGAAGTATATCCCGCTGGAGGGCACACGGATAATCTGAGGAAAAACACAGAAGAGCGCTGAAGCAGACACGTCATGCATATAAATAAATGTCTCTGACCTGTGTTTGCCGTTTTTAGGTTTCAACTGCATTTGGAATAAAGATGAGCATTTTCACAGAGAAACCTTTTTGTGAGCAGATCCTTTTTATCATTTAAAATATTGAACTTATACAAACAAACTGGTGCTGAAATGCAGTGCTCATTAAATTGTTACAACTGTGGGTTTCTGGCTGTTGCTAAAAGCTCGAGAAATGATCATTGTTTATGTGACTGGAGGTTCCTGAGCAGCTCTAACATAATAAATGATGTGCACTGTTTACAGAAATTTAATGATGCAAAGACGCCCATAGAGAATTGAATGTCATGACACAAATAAAATAAATATTATGATGCATTTGGATATAAAGAATGGAACTGATGTACACAATGAAAGACCCAACAATGGTAGCCTTTTCAACTCACCCACTAGGAGTCTCTCGGTTTCAGGCAGCTCTTTGAACAGCTTCTTAAACTCCTCGAGCCTCTGTTTGTAGGTTGGCACAGGAGGCTGAGGTGCCGCGAGGCACTGTGTCTGAACGTCAGAGCTCTGACAGAGGAACAGTTCACATTAATGACACGAGGACTTTAATGCAGAGCAAGAATTTGCGAAAGAAACAACAAAACGATGAGATCTGTAAAACCGAGATTTACTTGTGTAGACAGGCATGATAAAAATAAAGAACATCTCCAGATGATGAGCAGATTTATGAGCCTCAGAGAGGAAACAGCAATCACACCTTTGTGCTGGGAGGAAACATGGCCTCCCACAAGGGGGCAGTGAAAGATTTTCCATTTCACAGTTTATGGCACTGATGAGAGCAGCAGCAGCTTTATGTTAGTTGTATTTTTTCCTTACATCTTCATCTGAGCTCCACCTCAGGTCCGGCAGTGAGGTATCATCTGTGATGTCATCACTGCCCACTCCTGACCGGTTGGATACCTGGTCCATCTGCTCTGCTGCGCTGCTTAGAAGCAAAAGTGCATTGATATATGTGGGTTTATACATTTGGCTATGCTGTAATATGCTATGTTTAAACCATTCGTGCTTTCGCGTTATCGCTTTAAACTTTGATTAGCGGGTGTCAGGACGAGGCGGAAAGCTCTTTTTGGAGGGTTGAACTCTAATAACCTGCAAAATGTCAACAAACATCAGGTCCGCTGGGGAGGTCATTATCGCTTCAACGGAACTGGTTTGACTAGAGAGCTTAGTGAGGATGTGCAGGCATGCCACTGAACAGAAACCTGCACGATCTCGTGGTAAACTGGAAAGCTTACCACGAGCTTACCTTCGGTAAAAGGGCAGGTTTTGTGGCCACAAGTTAAAAGTTGACAGCAGAAAAAAAGTCAGGACTTTAAAGCAGCCTCCCCCTTTTCCCGTTCGCCGAGATAGAGATGAGAGATGGGAGCTATCAGCTGATGTGCAGCCAAGTCAAACAGCTCAAGTTGATAAAAGACTATCAAAGATCAGATACTCTGTTATCAAGCTTATATTTACATCTCCACGTGCTCTCTAATGAACGCACTTACCTGTCACGTAGTGGACCCAGGATTTCTGCTATGCGTGACCGAGGTTAAAATAAATAAATAAAAACGCAGCCGTTTGTCCCACACAACTCCGAGGCTCTCCCGAGTTTAAAGTGCTCTTGGCACGCCTTCCTGCAGGTGCATCTTATCCGGCCCAGGGAGCATTCCTTAAGGGAGTTGTCATCTCATTGGTGGTGACGCTCATTGGGCTTCACTCAATTACTTAAATCTTCAAAAAGGCCCCTCCCTCCTTTTATTTTAGTAATCCTCCAGATGAAAGGTTGATTTCAATTATAGCCATTTGACTTAGTAGCGCATTGTGATTTTTTTTAAGTATTTCATATGTACCTGTTTACTGTTCCTCAGCCAATCACAAGGCAGCAGCGTAATATATTTACACATGTAGACATGCCCAGGATGATCTGAGTATCAGAATAGAGAAGCAAGGTTATTTACGTGACTGTAAACGTGGCAGTCCTTTTGGTCTGACTATTTCAGAAACTGCTGATTTTCCAGCCCAACTCTCTCTAGTTTACAGAAAATATTCTAAAAAGAGAAAATATCCAAGTAAAAATGTTTTGTTAATGCCAAAGGCAAGAAGAAAATGGCCAGACTGCTTTGAGGTGACAGACAGGTGACCGTAACTTTACAAAACCACTGTTACACTCAAGGTTTGCAGAGGAACATCTCTAAGCACACACGTGTGAAACCTTGAAGCAGATGGGTTACAGCAGCAGGAGACCACACATGGTGCAGGTCTTGTCAGCTGAGAGCAGGAAAGCTCTCAGCTGACAATTTAGCTACAATTTACATTTTCATCAAAATTGGATGATAGAAGACTGAAAAAAAAAATGTTTCCTTGTCTGATCAGTCTTGATTTGCGCTGCGACATTTGGATGGTAAGATCAGACTTGAGCATAAACAGCATGAAAGGATGTATCCCATCATGCCTTGGCTCAATCATTCAGGGTGCTGCTGCTGGTGTAATAGTGTGGGGGCTATTTTCTTGGCACACTTTTGACCCCTTAGTATCAATTGAGCATGATTTAAGACAACAGCCTACCTGAGTATCATTGCTGACCGTGTCCATCCCATTATGACCAGTGTACCCATCTTCTTACTGCTGCTTCCAGCAGGATAACACACCATGTCTCAAAGCTGAAATCATTACAAACTGCTACCTTGAACTTGACAATGAACTCACTTTTGCGCTTTATACTTTTTTGACTTTGAGGTACAAATTATGCTACTTATTTAAACTATTTTTATGTTGCGTTTAACTTGATATTTAACTGCTAAATTCACATGAGATTAAGACTATTTTATATTAGATTACAAGCACTAAGATTCAGCTGTTGCTTTTAACCAGTAGTAATTAAGGTAGTTAAAATGTTACGCAAATCGATCCTGAGGTCAGGAGACTACACAGTATGTGTGATATGTGGGGAAACCAGTTTGACAGCTCCAGCAGTATCATCAGAAACAATGAAGTCAAACAGGCGACGACACCACAATGACTGTTTTTTTTCTCATATTTTAATTCTTTGGGAGTAACATGATGAAAGCACTGGACAGCAGAGCGTTGGACTCTTACACATTCACACAGCAAAGTACACAGCACTGCACAGCGTGAAACAACCATAAAAACAAAAAGAAACAAAGCCTTTACGTCAAAATGCTGGCAATAAATAGACTGATCTCATTAAATTTATATTCAATACTCTTCTGTACAGATGGTCTGTGAATTACAATACATCAACTGAACAATCCTCTTCAGGAAGAGCAACACAACACATAGGATTCATGTAAACAGAGAAAGGAATTACCAAGGTGAAGGGATCCCCGTTTCATACACACATCTAATTCACATACACGCACACATGATCGATGACCATGCAGAGGATCCAGAGTGTGCCGATACGAGGCAACGAGTAATAATGAATACAGTACATCTTTCTCTTTTCCCTCCACATGAAATTTCACATGCACACACTCTCACACGGTGACTCACAGAGGAGCACAATTGAGTACAGATAGTTTGAGGGATACATGGAGGTGGAATGTGATTCTGCAGTGGAGGGGTCTGAGATGAAAACTCGAAAGATTGTGACTGGTGGGCGCCTATTCCTCCAAGGTACGGAAGGCGTTCTGCATGTCCTCCACCAGCTGTGCATACTCGGCCTTGATCTTGGCTTCACCATCCTTAACCGGGTCCTACACGGAAATAAACAGGAATAAAGTGTCAAAGCTCGAAAAGAAAACGATCTGTGTTGGCTACCAACAGGTAGAAACAGGTTCTAAGTTAGCTTTTGACTTCTTGAAATCTTGCTGCTTAAAAACTAACACAGAAGAAAAAAAATAACAACTTCTAAACCAAAAAAACAAAACCAAAAAAACAGATGATGGAAGAACAGAAGAAACATACGGTGGCTTTTGCATGTACACCTGAACACACCTTGAATTTCATCGAGCTGATCTTGTAGAGGATTTCTCCCATGTGCTCCCTGATTATGGCCCAGGTGATTTTGTTGTCGCTCTGAGCTGTGGTTTCCACCGCGTGCCGTGCCATGTCATAGAAAGCTATCATGTTGGAGAGAATGCCCACTGTCTTGTAGAAAGGACAGAACCTGAGGAGATTGACAGCAAAGAGTCAGGAAAAAAAGGAGCTAACTGTAGATTAGGTCAAGAAACGGGGGAACTTATGATTTATAAAGAGTAGATCTAGGGCCAGACTTACTGCTTTGCAGCAGCACAACCTGGGTTTCGCCGTTTGTTTGTGCAAACTGATTTACTAATGTTTATGAAATGCAATTTACAGCTAATACTGTGATACCGCGATTGCAATGATATTTAACGCAGAAAAAAAGCATCGTATTTTTTGGACCTGGACACTATTTTGGCCCCGTTTAGTAAATATGCTGTTATTAATCTAATGATCTCCACACAGAAATTACCCAGCAGTGAATCATCATTTTTTTCAAAATCTGAGCCAGTAACATCAGTTAAGGTTCAAGTCATGTAGGCTATAAATGTTACCTGTCATAAGGAGTGTAACCGTTCTGCTGCAGGAAGTCATCTTTGATCAGTTTGGCCACTTCCAGTGTGATTTTATCCGTTTCTGCCAGTGAAGCCTGTCAGAGATAATGACACCTTAATTTATTCATGTGAAAAGACTTCAATGAATTTCTGAAACACGCCAAAATGGACCCAGTGAACAAATTTTTTTTAGGATCCGTTTCTGGCTTTGTCTCTGTGGTAAATTACCTTTCCGACAAGCTGCACAATCTCTGCCAGGTCCTCTTCCTCCTGCAGAATCTCCTTCGCCTTGGTACGCAAAGGTACAAATTCAGGGAAGTGCTTGTCGTAATATTCATCCAGGGCGCGGGTGTATTTGCTGTAGCTGATGAGCCAGTTGACGGATGGGAAGTGCTTCCTCTGAGCCAGCTTCTTATCCAAACCCCAGAACACCTAAGAGGGGAAGAAATGGGGGAAATAATAAAGCACATCGGATTTTATAAAGCTCATCCAGTCAGCGTGGGATCAGAAGGTGATCCTTTACCTGAACAATACCAAGTGTGGCTGAGGTAACAGGATCAGAGAAGTCACCACCAGGGGGCGATACACTGGAAAAAAGCACAAAACATTTTCATTAAATTGCTGTATTCAACTTTCTGTTGCCTCTCAAAAAAAGATGTGCAGAGTAATGTCTCCCTCTACTGATGCAAAGCTGTACTCACGCGCCTACAATACTGACGCTGCCTTCCCTCTCTGGGTTGCCCAGGCACTTCACTCTTCCGGCACGCTCATAAAAGGAGGCGAGTCGGGCACCCAGATACGCAGGATAACCACTGTCTGTGGGCAGATGCAGGAAATAGCTTTTTATGCTGTGCCAAGTACCACTCTGCTTTTATTTTACCAAAGACCGAAGCACCAAAGCACACCAGCTCCACTCTAATGAAATTCGAAGCGGTCAGCCGTTTTCATACAGTCGCTTTTGCAGTTTTACCTCAAACAACACAAAATGGTTTAATTCATACTTATGGGTCAATATTTGTTCTATCTATATAAAGTCAAATGAAGATAAAAGAATGACATATATGCTATATGGAGTGCTATTTATATAGTGCACTCATACATACATGCATGAGGTACTTTATTCTATAAACGTTAAGTATTCCATCTACCTCACATCGACGGGCAATTTATAACTACTAATTAATTTAGCATGCATGTCTTTATACTCCTGGAGGACGCACAGAGAACCCATGTAGGTAATGGGAGAACATGTTAACTCTATACAGTAGGGCCCTAGCCAGACTCAAACCAGAATCTTCTTGTTGTGAAGCAACAGTGCTAACCACTGCACCACCGTGCTGCAAAAGTAAACTTACATTTTTAATTGTTGCTGTTTTTCTATCAACCAGAAATACACTGCAGAAGCTTGAGAAGGCCTTTTGTTCAACGGGCAGCTTGTTTCAGTTGCTCTGTTGTTTTTATTTAAATGGCTGTGTGTACGAAAATAAAGCAAGCGTACTGTTCCTGTTACTCCCATGTATATCTTTAGAAAACCTGATATGATTTTGATGAATCTTTTGAACATTTCTCACAAGCCCCTCCTGCTGTTGCGTAGCTTAGGTGAAAATTGGACTAAATCCACCCTCAAAAGACTGACTGTAACCAGCTAAATCTGTGTTACAATAATTAGGAGATCCTTGAATATTTTCTTCCCCATATTAGACCCTAACATTGCGCCCTAAAATTTTAAAAAGCTCTGCTCACATGAGACTTCAAACTTACCAGCAGGCATCTCAGCTAGACGTCCAGAAATCTCCCTGAGAGCCTCAGCCCAACGGGAGGTGGAGTCGGCCATCATGCTCACGTTGTACCCCATGTCTCTGAAGTATTCAGACAGAGTGATTCCTGCCAAAATAAACTGAGTTAGAAGGCACAGCACATGTGAGCCAATTAAAAAGAATCACACGAGGACAGTGAGTGAGCAATCCCTTAAGAGTGAGTGTTCTTCATTATAAGAGGATCGCACAGTTAGGGTGAGAGATAAAAAGTACTTTAGGGTACTGTTAACAGTCACCTGTGTAGATGGAGGCTTCTCTGGCAGCTACGGGCATGTTGGAGGTGTTGGCCACCAGCGCTGTTCTCTTCATGATGCTCTCCGTCTTTCCATCCACCTCCATCGTCAGCTGTCGCCCAAACAACACTGTCAGTTACCTCTGAACAATAGTTTACTTAGAAAGGGGTGCCAGTACACTGCCACTTACTTCAGGGAAGTCTCTCAATACTTCTGACATCTCATTTCCACGCTCCCCACAGCCTACGTAGATGATGACATCACTGTTTGAGTATTTGGACAGGGACTGGGAGATGACAGTCTTTCCACAGCCAAAGGCTCCTGGGATAGCTGTGGTTCCTCCTTGCACACATCTTCAAACCATGAAGAGAAGAGATTAGGAAAACCTTTCTGAAACAAAAAAATCATCAAGGGTAAAAGGTCTGAGGGAGAATTTGAGACTCACGGGAAAAGGGCGTCCAGCACTCTCTGTCCGGTCAGCAGTGGGTGATTGGCGGGCAGCTTCTCTGTGACGGGCCGCACTTGTCTGACAGGCCACACCTGCACCATAGTGAACTTCTCCTTCACGCCTTCAAACTCCAGCTCCATCACCACATCCTGACACAGAAACACACGCGACATCAGCACAAATCAACGCCTCACAAGCTGCTCGTAAATTACAACCGCAGCTGTAGGCATGTCAGACTCACAGTGATATCATAGTTTCCAGGCGGAGCCACGTAGGTCACAGTGCCTCTGTTTTTAGGAGGCAACATGATCTTGTGCTTAATGAGGGAGTTCTCGTACACCATACCGTAGATGTCGCCGCCTGTGATGTGACTGCCAACCTAATAGAGTGAAAAGAGATGTACAGTTAATCTAATTCACCCGACATCTCAGACTTTTCAAGAAGAAGTCTCTACAAACTCCTACCCGCAGACTCTTGCTGGGAGAAAAATCCCACTTGAGGTCTCGGTTGAGGGCTCCAATATTTACACCTCTGGGAATGTAGATGCTTTGTGTGAGGTCATTAATGTCCTTCAGAGGTCGTTGGATACCATCAAAGATCGAGCCCATGATTCCTGGACCCAGCTCGACTGAAAGAGGTTTCCCCGTGCGGAGCACAGGATCGCCCACAGACACACCAGCTGAATTCAAGCTCAGAAAAATCATCAGGGTTTGGGTGAATTAGTTACCACCTGAGGACTAAGATAACCCCAGTTTGATTATTTTATAAGCAGCAAGGTGTTCAATAGTCTTGAACTCCCCCCCTCATTTCTTTATATTTTAGCTGGTAAGTGGGAAATGGACGCAGAGATTTGAAACATTTTCAAACATGCAGGGAAAACAGTATTTGGCAAAACTACAACCTCGAAAGTCAATATTTGGCATGACCACCTTTCTTCTTCAACACAGCCTGAACTCTCTTAGCCAAAAATCTGTTTTAGCTACAGACACGACTTTAAGATACTGTTCATCTGCTGTAAACAGATTTTAGGTGTTTTTGTCCTCAGTTTGTCCAGTTTCCTCCAATTTCTTAAGGACACACTGCATGCCATGCCGTGTTTTTTTTGTGTTTTTGTGACAGGCTTCTAGTAACAATGTTTCTAAGCTGTCTGTCATGTATAAACAAAAAAAACCCAAAAAAAACCCAAACTGGTTTGTCCCTCCAGTTACGTGCCTTTTTTTTAAGCTTGAATGAGTCAACAAACAAAAATACATTTCTTTGAAAATAGTCAGTTACAAGGACTAGATTGAAGAGTCCTTGTCCTTTGAAAGACCTTCGGAAAACACGGAGAACTCAAGGCTTGCTCAAGACTGCTTTAAAAAATACAAAATCGTTTTGGTTTCTACACAGAAATGGAATGTCTGTTATATCCAGATTCACACGCTCTCATTAGGAATTTACGGCTGTGACTTAATCCATCCAGTTACATAAAAGATTATTTTTTATAGTAAAGGGTACAGTAGCTTTTTCCAAATTAATTGACTACGTCCTTAAATACGGTCAGTGATGACCCCAAAACAATCTGGGTAAAAGACACAGGATGCCTTTGAAACGCTTGAGCATCATTATCCTTACCACCAGTTAGGGATGGAAGTATACTGACAATTAGATAGTAAATACAGCAGTAGCTTAGTTACACTGATGTTATTAATACTGTCCTAAACAATGTCACCTGCAGCTCTATCAAACTTGCTGCAAGAAGCATAACAAATGATGCACCCACTTTAGTGAATGTACCACAAATCCAGGGTGGAAGAAAGAGACTGAGTAGCATGAAATGGAGAAATCCTGCAACTAAACCCTATCTGACTGTTTATATGGACATCTTCTTCTTGTTTCAGGATCAACTTTTATAATATCCAATAACAGCAGCGTAATAAAATAAGGATACATGTCTCTTCATAGACCTGGATGGTGGCCATGTCTCCCTCCAGCCTGATAATCTCTCCCACCAGCTCACTGTGGCCGACACGGACCAGCTCATACATGGCTGCTCCTGCCATGGCCGTCGCTGTCACCACTAGAAGCACAGATGAGATGTAATCATAAGAGTGGTTGCTTTTTGTTTGACTGAAATGAATTTCGCTGTTTGTTGTAAAAGCAAAGTTGTTGTGCCTTTGTAGGATTAAAATAGTGCTCACAAAACCTTATTATTGTGACCAAGACTGAGAAATACAGATGTGGTTAAATGTGTTTGTGTCATTACACCTCCTCAGTTTTTTTCTGGAAAGTGGTAATAATGTGTTAAATATGAAGGAGGAGTTTCATAAGGAGTATGTGGTGACCGACCTGGTCCAGAGACTCCGTGAACGTATCCAAACTGGCTCTCCCTCTCCTCATCCCTGATCTTGGGCAGCTTGGACATGTCCATCTTCACGTTTATTAGTCAGACTGGAAGAAAAGAAACATAAGCAGCTGTTACTGACAACAACTTCCCTTTTTGTGACAAATTTAAAATGACAAATTAGTTCATTTTCAGCATAAAGCCCCTACGAGAGTTCAATTCAATTTTACTTATATAGCACCAAATCACAACAACAGTTGCCTCAAGGCAATTTATACTGTAACCTAAAGACTCTGCAATAATAAAGAGAAACCCCCAACAATCCTATGACCCCCTATGAGCAAGCACTTTGGCAACAGCGGGAAGGAAAAACTCCTTTTTAACAGGAAGAAACCTCCAGCAGAACCAGCCTCAGGGAGAGCACCCCGGTTACCATCTGAGGACAAAGATAATCCGCGTTTGATTATTTTTATAAGTATCAATTTGAAACTTCTCATTTTCAAGTTATTGCATTCACAAACTTAGGTGCCCATGGTGCCCGCCCAGCAGCAAGTAAATGGGAATTCAGCTGGGAAGTATTTTTGCAGGCCAGTCGAACTCTTATTTAACCATGTAAAAAGAAACGTTCATGTTTAGAGTGGCTGGATGGGTAAAACCAAAGCCTTATGAGGAAATAGGAGAGGTAAAAAGAAATACTGAAAGTTAAAAGAACACCAGCACACATCTGAAAACATTTCAACGTAATTACTAGTGAAACGGTGACCACCGGTGCTGAAAGTTCAAAGGCGGTAATTACAAAAGCCACCTTTAATGTGCTGATTCAAAAACTCACAGCAGCTCTCAAAAAAATGTTTCGTTTTTCTTATAACACATAGACATTCTGTGTATTCAAATGAATTTGAATACCTCTGTGATGAACTGGCAACTTGTACAGGCTGAGTGGGTAAGCAAATGGATATATGAATGTGGACTTTTGACCAGAATTGGACAAATTTATATTCTCATTATGAGTTCATTTAAATGTTTTCCTGGCATTATGCTGACTACTCTATATTGTCTCCCCCTGTAATAACCATGGAAACCTTGAAGAATGCACAGCATCACTGCTCAGGGATCCTTGTGTTGCTGCAGTCTCAGCATCAGAGGCAGAAGTAGGCCACCTCACCAGCCAGTCCACTGGCCTACTACAGTCAGTCAGTGTGGCACATCCGGCTAACATTAGTGGGGGATCCCACTGCATCCTTTTTTTTTTTCTTCATATGAAGAATAGGGTGCATCTTTCCCACATCAGGCTGTTCCTTTTTCTGCTATATTTATACCTCACAACTCAGCCACATGCAGCTGTAACACAAGCACAAGCTGCCATGAGTCGTGACACAGACCCATCCTCACAAAGCGCTGCCTGCAGATGCTCTGCACACATTCAAGATCAGCTTTATCTGCTAGATAATATATTCATTACTTGCAGTTACATCAAGAAAATATGCCTATATTGTGGATTTCTTTTTCTGCCCCCCCTTCTTTCCATCTTTCTACATCTATGTCCTTTATTGCCCTTCCTACTGATGCACGGATCTTCCTGCTCACGGTAGGCTGCTTGGCCATCTGTGCTGGAATAAAGCAGCTCCACCTATTGATTAAAGCAAGAACTGCAAGAGAGATATACATAGGAAGGCTTCACTGCTCAAAAAAACCAGACTAAATTTACTGGTTTTAACTGGATAATACTGGTATTATCCAGGGAGCTCACCTGGAAAACCTGTTAGTGTACCAGAGGCAAGCCTCTGCCCATTTGATTAATAACATCACAATAAATAACAAAAGAATTACACATAAAACATCAAATATGTCTTCTTTTAAAGCAGCACAATAATATTTATTGGAATAATTAACTTCTGTATGTAATAAACCCACAGAGTAGCACTTTTTCATAACTTCCAGATACAACAGCTATGGAAAAAGTATTCTACATGACACTAAGTCATATGATCCTGGCACATGACTGGCTGCCCTCAGACGATGAGTCTCTTTAAGGAAGTGGAACACCAGCATGGTGAAAAACTGGGAAGTCAAAATCATAACTGTCTATGTGGAAACTCTGGAGATTTTCTCCCACCTGACTGCAGTACTTCACATATTAACCTCCTAAGACCCGAACTCTTCCACGGCATGCATTTTTAATTTCTCTTTGATATTTGGGCATATTGGGGCGCGATGAATGTAAAAACAAAGAATTACCAGATTTTTTTAAACCTTATTTTTGTTTTTAAGAAAAATAAGAGCCACATATGAGGATATTCGTTTAGAATTTTGATAAAACAGTAGCTGTATAATGTCCTTGTAAGTGGATATCAGGCCCTCGTAGAGCAAAATTTCGTATTTTGGTCTAAATAGCCCAAAATGTGATGTCCACATATGTGGACGCCAGGTCCTAGGAGGTTAAAGAAAATTTACCACAGCATTAATATACTAATGTGGGCAACAATTGACGGCAAGCCTCCTGTTGGGACCAAATGTTACACCGATGAAACAGCTTATCAGACAGCAATTGAGGAGTCTGTAGTGAGTTTAACCCGAGTGTCCCTGTATGAGATGTTGTCTGGGTAAAAACAGGCTCAGTAATATTACATGTAAGTGAGGTGATTCTGCAAAGCATCCTGAAATGCAGATGTTAAATGAAAGTCCCATGGACGCAGGTAACGCTGCTGATCGAGTGCACAATATTCGAAACTATAAACTAGCCAGTTGTTTAGCCACAACAGGAAGAGTCTGAAATCCGAATAATAAAGCCGGAAAAAATAATGTTTGTAATTTCCACTCGGCCATATTTTGTCCTTACGTTAACAACAAGGTTAGCTAGCTGTGTGTGTGATTAGGTGTTGTGAAAACGATAGCAAGACTGGTTTGTCGGCCTGGGTGGAAAAAAAATGCTGTCTCTACTATTCTGGTGTATAGGGATTGCTAAACGGTTTCACTGTACACATGCATCCAAATATACTTCGTAATATTAAAATGAAAAACGGGATATTTACCGTGTGGCTGTGAAGTGTCCGTTTACTGTCTTGGTTCGAGAGAGGAACGCTGGCTGCTGCGGAGCGTGACAGCGAGATCAGCTGACTTCATTCACTCACCGCTTGCTTTTACTGCGGGCTAGCGGCAACTGGCGCCATTTTGGATCCTCCCCTGGACTACCGGAAAGATCTCTAACTGGTGGATATTTGTGGTCATTTAACCTCACTTTGCATAAAGCACGACTCCGAGCTCATAGCTTCTCATATTGTTGTTGTAAACCCTTGTGTTAAATTATGTTTTCACCTTTGTGGTAAATTGGTTTTATGGGAGACTACGTAAACTTTTAAGTACACCTTATGTGAGCGAGCGTAAACCCACAGTGATGTAAGTTCTGTTGGTATGCAACGATAAACAACCTATCTACATTACATAGATCATAATGAGCCACGGCAGCTTATCTCTCATGTTGTTTGATATCTTTTCAGCAACGGTTGAGCCAAAATGGAGGTGCTTTCACAACTCCCGGTTTATCTTTCAGGTGGTTTAGGAGTAAACGATGAAAATGTAATTTTGATAAAATACATTTATTTAAATATGTATACATACCCCCAGTTTGTTTTTTTGTTTTTTTGTTTTGTTTTTTTATTTTTTTTATTTATTTATTGGGGGTGTATACGTTTCTCCAAATTACAAATTTACAGAACTACAGGGCTCATGGGTTTTTCTTTCGCTTTCGTTGTGTAACAGAAAATCTCAGCATCCATATGACCAACACTGTATTACATATATAAACTAATTTCGGATTTCCTTTTTATGAGTAGATAAATATAAAAAATAATTTCAGTAATATATTTAGAAAACTAAAACGGTAGATTTCATTGACTAGTAGTAATCCAGTTGTTCTACAACAAATAATTCTGGGGCGAAGACGTAGGCGCTTTCCCCCAAAAAAATATAATGCTTGCTTTCGGAGGTCAGACAAATGCATTTCACACGTCTCAATGTCACACCAGAAGTAAAGTCCCCTTAAATAATGCGAGACGAATACGAGCCCTATATAATTAGGACTGAGAACCAGGATGTTTTCAACACATAAACCGTCATTTAAATGTCTTAATTTGGCTGGAAAAGAGCCTGAGAGTCCAAACCCAGGTCAAAAAGTCTCATATCTAACATTAGAGGCGCGTGTGCGCATGCGGAGGTCAGGGTTGACAGTCCGTCTCCACAGTCGTGGAAGGAGTGTGGCGGCTAAGCTAACTGCAACCATCGTAACTAGCTACATGTGGAGGGTAAAACGGGAGGCATCCCCGACCCCAACTCTTTCCAGTTTCTCACCTTTTACCCGAAACAACTTCAGAGTTCATACTCTTCGAAAATAAGGGATATCATCTCTTTAAAATGAAAGGGTGAGTGTGAACTTTTGGGTCACGAATACGTAGCTTAGCACAAGTAAAGTTTTTCATGTCTGTTTTTTTCCTACAGGAGGAGGCGGGGAGGTGACGGCGAGGCTAGCTAGCTTGCGAAACGACTTTTATTTAGGTTCATGGCCACTATATAAAGGACAGCACCGTCACTGAAGTGGTGCTGTCTCAGTTGTTGTCGTTAACTTTAGCCGCTTGTCGGTTTGTGTAGGTCGCGAACAAGCTAAGCTAACTAGCTCGCTGCTAGTGGAGAGCTGAGTCAGTAAAGCCAGTTTAGCTAAGCTAATCATAGCTCTGATTATTTTTGGTATTTGCCGCGAACCTCAGCTACCTGCACAGAGTCATACCAGTTTTGTCGAAAGTCTTAGACGCAGCTATCTCACGTTGGGCAAAAAAGTTACCATTTTAATGTCACACATGACAGCAACTTTAGCGTTTGTGCCAGCTGACTCAGTGTAACTTGATCTGCCAAAGTAACACACTATCAATGATGCTTCTGGATATTTCTGAATAAATTCTCTTATTCCACGAGGGCAATAAAGGCTGAAGTGTATTAATTGTATACTTAGGGTTTCACCGATCTCATTGTACATGCTTAAGGACAACACACGTGACCTCCACCAGTTCTTGGATGTGTAGTCGTCCTATAAATACCACAGTGAACCTCTCACTGAGGCGAGTGGACTGCTACGTGTGGGTCATTTACTAGTTACACAAATCCAGCCATGTCCCCTGGTCATCCTATAGATATTTAAAGGAGAATATTAATCAATTTTGATGGTAGAAAAGTTTCATTTTTAAGTAAAGAGTTATAAAAAGCACAAGCTGCAGGTGTTGTTTAAATTTATTTCTAAGCGGCATTCGTCCAAAGAATTACTGTTAGTAGTAGATTATGTAAATGTATGTGTGTGATTATGAGGGGACATGTTGATTTAAGCTATACAAGAGTTGATAACAGGTTCAGTTCAGCAGTGTTATAGCTTTTGGGACGAAATTACGCAGTTCATGAGAGATGATTTAATCAGTACTCAAAGTAGACAACTATCTGCGTAATTCATCTTTGAGCTTTGATAGTAAAAGTGTTTACTCAAAGATTGAGTGTATAGACTGAAAGAACTGTGCTTATAAGCAAATATAAAGGATAGAAGGCTTGTAAGATGTCAGTTTATTAGTCTTTATTGTATTTTGGTTCATATAATGTTAAATGAAATGGTTTACCTGTTGTCAGCCATTTGACCGTTTTGCTCTTGTTCCAGTAGCCGGATCGAGCTGGGGGACGTTACGCCCCACAACATTAAGCAGCTGAAACGCCTCAACCAGGTCATCTTCCCCGTCAGCTACAACGACAAGTTTTACAAAGATGTGCTGGAAGTTGGAGAGCTTGCAAAGCTAGGTAAGACATCGCAATACTTACACCTAGACAACTTCAGTTAGGGTGACACCTGATTATGACTGTATGTGATGACATTGATGCGTTAAAGAGGAAAGCGACTGGTGGAATTCAGTTTGCATGCACTTTAACAGCTTGATTTTCAGTCATGGGAAATGAAATGTAGAAATGTGGCTTTTAGAGGTATTTGATCTTTCAGCATCATGTTTTGTTTTGGTTTTTTGCAGCGTACTTCAATGACATTGCAGTGGGTGCTGTGTGCTGCAGAGTGGACCACTCTCAGAACCAGAAGAGACTGTACATCATGACACTTGGCTGTCTAGCACCCTACCGTAGACTTGGAATTGGTAAGTAGTAGTAGATTGTTTCTGTTATTGATTCCTGAAGAAGAAACTTTTTTTTTCTTCCCCACTATCATTAATGATCCTTATGTGTGATTCAGGTGAATAGAAGCTCTACTGTCATTAGTTTGATAACGGAAGTTACAATAATAATACATTTTATTTGAAGGCACCTTTCAAAAAGCCAAGGTCACCTTACAAAAGAACAAAATGAATAAAAGGAGCAATTGTCATCCTCTATTAGATGTATGATAGACTAGACTGTTTGATACTGTTTCTTAAAAGTTATGAGGACCTCAAGAAGAGGCTGTTGTGCAATTGGTGATTTTGTTTTTACTTTTACGCCAGGTACAAAGATGCTTAATCATGTGCTAAACATCTGCGAGAAGGATGGAACTTTTGATAATATTTACCTGTGAGTGTTTGCCGAATTTGCATGAAAACTTATCTGCATACAATAATTATTTTTGACTGATTTTCCAGATGAGCTGCCTGTTAATGCATTTGTATTTTCCTACCCTACAGTCATGTGCAGATCAGCAATGAGTCGGCCATTGACTTTTACCAGAAGTTTGGCTTTGAGATTATTGAGACAAAGAAGAATTACTACAAGAGGATAGAGCCTGCAGATGCCCATGTGTTGCAAAAGAGCCTGCGCAGTCCTTGTGCACTGCCCAGTGGAGAGCTTCAGAAGTCAGAGTAGGGGCACAGCGTTCGGAAAAGGCACTAATGTGGCCACCTCCACAGAAACAGAACTGTGACAAATGCCCCAGGATTCAACACTTTCTTCAAAGGACGCTAAAAAGAGAAAACAAATTTCAAGCATAAAAGTTGCTGCATTTATTTCACAAGGGGGTCCCCTGTTGTTGTTGTTTTTTTTGTTTTTTTTTTCTTCAAATTTTCTTCATACTGTTAATTGACAATGACAAAAAGCTAAGCATCCTATAGTGCTCCTGTTGACAAAGTTACCAACTTCTGACAGTTGACATGGTGGAGGGGGAAAGATTTGGAGTTTTCAAATCACATTGTTGTGTTTTTTTTTTTTTTTTTTTTTGTTTTTTAAATGCGGTTATTAAAGCTGGAGGGGACATATCTATGCTGTTGATCAAAGGAAATCAGTTGGTTTGGAAAGTAAAGGGAAAAAGTGCTTGAAAGACCATCCCCCGACACAAATGCAGTCCCAGGTGGTCAGCTTGGAGTGATACTTGAGATATGTGGAACAGACAAAGCTCTATTCCTGCACCACCTGAATCTTTGGACTCATGAGAAATGAGTCTGACCGGTTTGTTGTGTCCGGGGGGGCAGAAATGCGTCCCCTCAGTACAGGAGAAAGGGGAAAAGCTTGACGGTTTTGTGGCAGTGGGAAGATGCGTTCAGTACTTTTAATTTTTAAATATTTCCAGGCTGTTATTTAAATCCCCCTTCAACTAGTCTGTTATTTTTATTTTCCACACTGAGATGGCAAATGGTTCAGAGGTTCTCCTGGGTTTATCACAAAGAGTGAAAATATAAAGGAACGAGAGAACCAAACAAATGTATTGAATGTGTTATGAATAACATCAGATCGATTTGGATTTGGGCATTATTTTCAGTAGTATGGTGGAGGTGTTTGTGGATGCTTGTTTCTAAATATATACAAGTGTTTTGAGACATACCTTAAACACCTTTGGCACCTTATGTAGCCATCTTATGACATTGGTCTTCTCAAACTTCCTGCCACAGTGAGCTTCAGTGATTACACAAACTTTCAGCTGAAAGTTTTGGAGTTTTGCTATGATCTCTTAACAGTGTATTACCCAGAGGAAGCTCTGACACCTGTGCATGCAAGGAGAGTTGTGTCCTCTCCACTGTAGTATACGCATGTTTTCATTTCTTTGGAGAATTTTATCTTTTCTGGAGCTCTATATTGTAAGACTTTTTAACGTCTAAATGAATAAATTACTATTTGCAGTAAAAGTTGTGTTATGTTTTGACATTATGAATATTTAGTATAGAAATTGGGTTTTTTTTGTGTGTGTGTGTGTGTGTGTGTGTGTGTATGATTTATGTCTCCCTCTGCCTTAAACTCTTCCTTGGATGCTTATAGGTGTTGTGATTGGATATAACCTCCTACCTCTGGAATGCTATTGGCTTTCAGGACTGCGTACGGCCCGCCCCTTTCAGCACTAAGTTAGGTTATTCAGATTGTTTTGGGAGATGAGTTGAAAGCTTTGCTAGCTAATAGTTAGCCTCCAATTTTTAAAGTTCTTACAGGAACAGCGGTCTCCAAAATGTCGAGGCTAAAGGTTCGTGAAAACTACTCTCTGTAAGCAGCATTTGTGTGAGCACGGCCGAGAAGCGACTGGCGTTGTTCTGCTTAATAATCATGTCGGTGTCGATAAGCTAAGATAGCTGTTAGCCTGCTAGCTATCAGAAAGCTAGCTGAACAGGTAATTGCTTAGGTTTCTTTGCAGGTTTAAATATATGAACATCGCTCGCTGCCGATATTGTTACACAAGCCCAGGAGAAAGATCTGTTTAATCACTTCGTGTAACACTCTAATTATTTTGTAACGTGTCGGTAAGTGTTTTTATCTAAATGAGTAAAGATAGGGTAATTACACTAGCTTGTTAGCATCTGGTAGTAGTAGAGGCTGAGTGTAGCTTGACAGATTTAATACTTTTATATCTGCTATTGTATGAAACAGTATGAGCTCATCACTAGTGTATCTGTACTATTTTTCTCAGCTGATACACAGCGGTGTGTTGACAGTGCTCTTATTTATAATCAATACACTGTTCGGATGCTTTATGTTTTGCTTGCAGCAGGACGAGCACGGAATGGATTTTAGGTCCAGCTGTTGATGTGTTGACTGGTACCTTATCATACAGGCAACTGTGAGGACAGGATGCCAGAGATGACTGAAACTCAGACACCTGGCCGTAAACCCAAGTAAACATCTTTGAGATATAGTCTGTTTGTTCCGGTTCAGTCAAATAATTTCCGTAAGTGGTCGTTTAAAATGTGAACTGTTCAATTTTTTTTAACGTTATTTTATTGTTTGCAGAAAGAAGAAAAACAAAGAATCTCACAATGCAGGTAAAAAACCATAGATGACCATAGATTTATTGTGTAGGGTTTACTTTAAATGTACATGAATTCTGATGACTTTGTGTCTTTTTGTTGTTTTAGTTGAAAGACACAGAAAAGAAAAGATTAATGCCGGGATTAACCGCATTGGTAATCTTTTGCCATGTTCCCAAGCACTTAAACAGGTAAGAGACAATCTGGTGTTTCTGTTTGCCTAAATATAGTGAAATTAGAGCAAAATATTTTAATAGAAAAAAATGTGATTTTATTTTTAGAGTAAGAACATGATACTGGACCAGGCCTTTCGTTACATCACTGAACTGAAGAAACAAAATGATACAATGCTTCTGGAAGGAGGAGATAAAGTCCAAGGTAAATTGTAATATTGTACACACCAGCTTCCTAATTTAGTTGGAGTATCCTACAAGTTAAGTGTGAATATGGATTATGTGTGGTTAAAGTCATGAACTCTACACCTCATTGCAGCAGAGGAAATCCGTCGGCTGCGGCGTCAGCTGGAGGAATTGAGGCGAGAGAGTGCTCACTATATTGAGCTCCTCAAAGCCAATGACATTAACCCTCTGGAAGATCCCACTATCCACTGGAAGGGCAAACAACGCTGTGCTAAAGTGGCAAAAGTTCCCCCTACTCACCAGCTCCCAAAGGGGATAATTGTTTGTTCTAATGGCAATGGGAAATTCCCTGCAGGAAAGGAGACTAGCCCAGGAAAACAGTCATCTGAAACATTAATTATTCAGCCATCATCTGAGGCCAGTGCCAGATTAAGGGTTAATGGAGCCCTGCTGCATGTTAACAACTCTTCTTCTACCCCTGCACTTCTCCCTGGGTCAGCAGCAGCACCCACTCAGTCTACACCCAGCCTGAGAATGATAGAGCAGTGTGTGGTTGAAGCACCAACTGTGGCACCCACTCTGCCACCTTCTGTGTCTTACATCACCCTCCAGATTCCTGCAGCATCCACATCAATGCCTCAGCAAGCTCAGCCCCTCACCTTAGCAGCTACTTCAGCCTCACAGCTCCCCACTGAAGGCTCTGCTCTGCCTGCATCCACCCACCCTACAAAAGCTTCAGAGGGTTGCTCATGGGTAACGCAGGACGCTACCATAAGGACTGCAAGTTACACTGCTATCCCAACCAGCCAAGCCCTTCTCAGGGCTGGGGCAGCAGGCAGCACACAGACTACCTGGACAACACTGCAGATGGCAGGGAACACAGTGCAGCCAGTCTGCCAAAGTCTTTCCACTCCAGAAGTCAGCAACACCACCCAGCCTATCCAGCAGGTGACTGTATGTCCAATGGGCAGCAAACCATCTGTTCACCCAATTCAAATACAGATGCAACCACAGGTGCCTGTACAGCAGGCACCTCTTACAGGTCACATTCAAGCGCAGCCGTTTCAAAGAGCACCCCAGATACGGCCAGCAGTCCTAAACCAGACACAGCCTCAGCCTATCCTAGCATGCCAACCTCAGTGTGCTGTTCTTCCTCAATCAGCCATAGTGCAGCAGCCACCTGTGGTGGCCCACCCTGCAGTCGTGTCTCAGCCCCAGCCTACTCTTCTTCAACCAGCCATAATCCCACAACCTCAACCCCTCCCTCAGCCAGCCCTGGTACCCCAGCCACAGGCCACCGTGCTTCCTCTCCTTCAGACCATGCAGGTGTTGCAAGTCAACCCAGGTGGAGCAACAGCTTCAGGTGTTACAGTACCACAGAACACAAACAATCCAAGTGTTGTAATCCTGCAGCAGGCCAGTGCTTGCCCTACCCAGCCAGTTGTGAGGGAGGAAATAACAAGTCAAACACCATGTCAGCATTTTGTAATCATCCAGGCACCCAATCAGGCTGCAACTTCTGCTCAGAATCCCCAAGTTGGCATGGTGCCTGCTGCTATCCCTACTGTTTCCACTCAGATACCCATGACCAGCACCTCGGTGTCTGCACCATCCTTGCAAAGTGTAGGGGGAAAGCAGCTGGTGCACATTCTTCCTCGCCCTGTTCAGCCTCAAGCGAGCCATCCTCCGCAGGCCACCCAGACATCATCTTCTCCACCAGTTCCTACAACCCCGCAGACTATCACTGTGAATGGACAGGTGTTTGCCTTGCAGCCTGTGAAGACTTCTGATAAGGCCAGTTCCCAGGGTGGCCAGAGTACATTGCAGCTAGTCCAGCCCACTACCAGTGAGGAACCGACTACTAATGTGGCTCTCAACAGCTTAGGGGCCCTCAGCAGTCTCAATCAGAGCATCTCTCAGGGTCTTCCTCTTAACATTTCTAGTCAGAACAATGGTCAGCCTCCACCTGCTCCATTATCAGTGTTGCAGCAGCAGCCTCCTGCTCCAGCATCCATCTCTGGAGCCACACTTGCACTACCTGCCCGACAGCTACAGGTCCCAGTCACATCAGGGCTGGTGGTTAGTACCTCTAAGCCTTCAGCAAAGAGGCTTCGCACAGCCTTGAATATGAAGAGAGCAGCAGCAAAAAGGACTAAAGCTGCAAAGAAAAAGGAAACCAGTCCCCCACAACCTGCTGTAGCTCTTTGTGCCAAGCCAATAGCTGCTACAGGAGAGAGCCAGACAGTTCAGGTTACAGGATCTCAAATTTTACAGTCTGCATCTGTTAAAGTCACAGACATTAACTCCACATGTACCACAGCTGTCACAGCTATAGATAAAGCTATAGGTAGTGTCACTACACAACAGAACACACAGAAAATGATTGTAAACAGTTCATCCAGCGGGCCAGCTGTGTTTAGTCAATCCCATCCACGGGATAAAACCTCTGTCAGTGCGTCTCAGAGTGATTCGACATTCAGTCATTCTAACACTAGCAGCATCACAACTGCAGTTACAACAGTCACTGCCACATCGATCGAGCTATCGGTTAGTTCAGACTTGGTTGACAAGAGTAAAGTATGTCCACTTTCTGGCAGCGACTCAGCTGTAACCAAGCTCTCAACTGCTGAGGCTAAACATCCTATCACCAGTACAGAAACTAGCATAACACAAACTAAGTGCACTGCCAGCACTGCTGCTTCTGGACAAAACCGACCTGTGGTGACCTCAGCAGCTGCCTCTGAAACTCTGTACACTTCTTCCTCTGTTTCTACTGTATGTTTGACTCCAGTCTGCACCAGCAGTACCACAGCAACTGCACCGTTACCTTTTAATAAGACTACCCAACAAACATCACCTTGTGGTTCCCAGGGATCTGCTTCACAAGATTCTCTGCCTTGTAATAAACCGGAGTCTCAAGCCACTCCTTCATCTTCTGTGTCCACAACTCTGTCATCATCTGCACCTGCATTTTCTGCTATGCACAGCTCTGCAACAACCCCTACAACAAGTTCAGATATTAGTAAAAGGAACACTGCTCCCAGAGTTACAACACAGCAGACTGATGTGAGCACACCCAATCTGTCCTCCTGCCATCCTACTGAGGGCAAACCGCCTCAGGCCCCTAGACCAAACAGTGAGGCTCAGGAGGAGATGCAGTCCACACCAGCAGCCAAAGAGAGCTTAGTAGTGGCTCCTGACATTCCTCCTAGAAAGGACTTTTCGTTGTCTCAGCAGGTGTACACTAACTTAGATGATCAAACTCTGGAGCACTCTTTGACCTCTAGCAGGCAGACTGATTCTCCCATGTCTTCTGGAGCTGGGGGTGGTAGAGGGTTTTCTGTGGCGTCCATGCTTCCCCAAGGCCACACTATCGGTGCATCATCTGGGTCCTTTGGAACATTTACATTCACAAATGAGCAGGCAGAGATGCTGGCGTTAGCCATGCTGGAGCAGGACAGCCCTGGAAGGAGGAGTGGAGGGTGCTCTGGGGAAAACACTGCATCTACTAACCCCACCACAGCCACGTGGGAGCCCATCAAAACCACACCAGTGTCAGCCAGTAAAGAACGAGGCTCAGCTGGGCAGCAGGCTAAAGTGAATAAGCCTATTGACCCGGGAACAGTTAAACCTGCTGTTGAGGTGTCTGTCAGAGGACAGGTTGGGGAAGGGCCTGTGAGTGCAGCCGGTGGAAGCAGACATCCACAAAACATCTCTTACTCCCAGTCTCAGCCTCTTCCCCAGGTCCAGTCTCAGAACTCATCCCAGAGTGGGACAGTGGCAAGCCTCAGTGTCAACAACCTGATTAGGCCCAGCTCTAGTCACCAGCCCTACCCTGGCTCCCCAAATCTGCCTGGCCAACAGGCCTCAACTCCCTCTCCTGCGGGGACCTCATCTCTTATATCCCAAGCCTCAAATAATGCTCACTCACCCTGTTCAGGTGCTACACAGCCAAATGAGTACATCCCCTTAAAGAATACACTAATGAGGGCTCAGGGAGGAGTTGGTATTGGCGAGCGACAAGTAAAGATAATTTCCAAGCGGCAGGCTCAGGATGAGGTGATGTTAAACACTGGTAAACGACCTAAGCCCTGCCCTCCATCTGGTAACCCTGTCAACCACATGGATGTGAAAGCCGCTGACCACAACCAGATGATGGTAGGTCAGCTACCGTCGTCTTCCTCAACCGTCATGACAAGGATTAATTCAGAAGGTGGAGGCCCTATCTTCTCTGCAAACTCTTTTATGAGCCCGGTAGTTAGGCCTGCAGATGGGCACTGCCCTCCACAAGGACCTCCTGAGCAGAACCAGCCAGGGGTACTTCATCTGCCCCAGGGGCATCAGCAGCATGCTGTAACACAGCCTGGTCAACATCTGGGAGGGAACCTTTACATGAAACAGCAACAGCAGGAGCAGCAGAGGCACCATCTGTATCATCTGCAGCACCACTTGACACAGTCAGACCCAGCACAGCGCCACTCAATACACCAGAGGGCGCTGCAGCAACAA